ATTTATGTACACATCATATGATAAAATCTCCCCAAAAACAGTCCGAAAAAGGGCCAAGGTTTTAAAAATACTGCAACCCCCCTTTAAGAATTCCTCAGAAATGTTTGTGCTGCCTCACCTTGTCCCTGTCACAGGGCTGTGTTACTGATTGGACACTAAAACTCACTCTGAAGAACTCCCAAATGTATGACTAACCCAAAGCCAGACCTGAATTACAATATTTTAGAGTTAATAGTGACATTTTTTAAGCAGGCCAATTCTGCTACATCGAACTGTCACAGCCTTCATCTCTCCTCAGATCCTTCCCCTCCTCCTCCGGCCTTGAGGAGTCACTCTGTTTGCGCAGTAGAACAGTCTGATGGTGGGCTCTGATCTGACTCTGAGGGCTGCCAGAGGAAGAGATTAATGGAACAACGCTCTCCTTTGCAGCAGATAAAAAAAAAAGCCTGTTGTGCCTCTTAACTCTTCTGGGTAGCCAAATGGATCCGTTGCAGTTTTGAGGAGATGTAAGGTTTCATCGCCTTTACAACCGTCGCTTTTCCCTTTAATTCCCATTCTCAGGGATTATACATTTGTCTTTTGTTGTGACTTACAATTAAATGTGTCGTCTTTCGAAGCTAAACTCCACACTGTGTAACATCACTCAAGTATGACTAACTTTCCATAGTTATTCCTCATCATCTTTCAAAAATAGAGTGGGGGGCTGCAGTTATAACTTCCACCCTGTTAGCTCTGAGCGGCAGAAATCGTGTAGGCGATGTAGTCAACAGTGTCATGCTGAACTCTTGCTGTTTGTCTTTTAAGGATTAATTTCATGCTAACCATGGTGATGAGCTGCTCTCTGAGAAAAAGTCAACAGGTTAAACAATTTTGAATAAATTCCCTCCAGCAGCCTTCAAACTTTAACTAAACTGAGAAAAATAAAACATTTTGCAAAACCTGCAGAGCACAACATTGTGTATGTCTGTGTGTTTATGAAGAATATTTTGTCTCATAAATGTGCAATGATGCAAAACCACACTGCCAATTATTGAATGTACACATGTCTGTCTGTTAGTGGTGCACACAGCTGGACTTACATATACATTTATCATTTTATTTTCAACCACTTCAGATACTTTTGTTTGTGTGCAGCATTATGCATGAATTAAACATTTAGCCCTCCAAAGTGTGTGTGTGTGTGTGTGTGTGTGTGTGTGTGTGTGTGTGTGTGTGGGTGCAAGTGTTGTATTTGGCTATAAACCCAGAAAGTTGCTGTAGGAGATCCTCTACACCGTGTCCTTACAGCATGCAGGCGTTGGATACTGCATTGCATTGTGCACAATTGGACGTTCACTGTCCACATTAGTTTATTGCTCTGTGAATTTCAGTTTCCCCCTTGAAAAATTTTGGTACTAAAGGTGTACAAATGGAATTGATATGCTTTGTATTGATGAGCTACTGACTCAATGAACAACACTCAGGCTCATCAATAAACGGCAAATAAAGTTTTTCTGTGTGTTAACACAAGTCACAGCAAAACCATTTAATCAAGGATATCAGTGTTTAAATGCAGCACTTTCTTCACTTTATCAAACAAGCTAACAAGCTCTGTTAAGTGAAAAAAATAAATAGAAAATCAAATATTTCCGATTAGACACTGCCAGTGCCTTGTAGAGCCCCCTCCTTCCTCATTCCTCGTCCATGTCTTCAAGAGCAAGAGGAAACAGGGCGTTTGGGCAAAAAAAATGCATGTTTTGTTGTACTGTTTTACGCTGCATCGCTTGCGGGCTGTTAGGATACTCAAAAAGAAAACAATTAAATCAAACAGATTTTGTTGTGACGCTCACTTGCATCACATGCTGTTAAGACAGATAGATAGGTAATCATCACTAGGGAAAGACCCCCCTCTCGTCACCATTTCAAAGAATCTCAGCATAAAATCTATTCATTTCATTTAAAGAAAAATGGTCTGCTTTAAGTCAATGTAGACTGGTAGTCCCCTGTTCGAAAGGAAGTGGTGAAATGATCGAAATGCTGTAACACCCTATCTGTCTACCTTTCAGGAAAAAGTCCTCAAAACAGTATTTAATAAATTCAGTTACTTATTAACTAAATAAATTCTTTATCTCTGTCTTTCTTCCTCTTACGCGGGATCAAGGGTCTTCACTTCTGCAATCAACAGAATGTCCGAAAACGTAAGTTCAAGCTTCAAGGTGCATTTTCAGTGTCCAACTTAAGATGAATAAAACAAGGTGAGGATAATACACTCAGTCTTTAATTTAAAACGTAGCTTAACTATTCAAATTTGGGATGTTATAATCTTGAAACCGAAGTGATATACAACTGCAAACCAAAGGCTGTCTTTCGCCAAACAAATGTAGCACAGAAAGGAAGGTAATGTAGAAAACTACAGCATCAACAATAGCTTTTTTAGCTCTTTTATTTTTACCTGATAATCAAGTGTATTGTTTTGTCCACTCTCATAACTCCCAGAAACACGTAAATCAGCAAAACAGATATTTTTTTTCAGTTTATTTTATATTAGCGTCGTACTTGTCCGCTGAGACAGTAGTAAGAGCAGGTATCATTATTTTATTTATAATATGTACACAAACAATGCAGAATACTCCCAATAGAACATGGCATGATATACATATTTCCCTTTAAAACGTTTTTCAGAGTCTTCAGGATATGTTTTCTGATTATTTAAGGGGCACTGAGCCAATATTATGGTAAATATATGAGATAATAATTTATACTTTATTTATCCCGTGAGGGGAAATTCGGTTTTACACTGTTTAATGAACATGCTACACACACAGGCCGATATACACACACATGCACAAACAGGATCCTATTGACATACATTAATGGATAGGGTTCGGTGCCAAGTCCCGGCATGGACCAAGTCCGGAAATTGGCCTGATGGATGGATGGATGGATAGATACTCACGCAGACTTGGTTTACAGGTTTACCCCAATTTTTGTTATGTCTTTCGTTAATCCAAAATTATTTCAAATACTAAAGATGCCATTTTGGACTACAACATCATTTTTAACCACCTCTTCCTCAGCCGGTACTACATGTGACATATATTAAACCATGCTTAGGGAGCTGATCCTAAGCATGGGTTCCATCTGATTGTCCCAATGTTTGCATGTTCGGTAGGAATACATTTTGAATCTAAAGAAATCTGTCTCTTGCAAAACGCTTTAAGAAGTCCTTCAAGAGTTCTGTTTCAAAATGTGCCAAGGATGAAATACGACCCATTTACAAATAACCCATTCCTCTTTAGCTTAACTTGGGTAGCATATGAAAACCTGAGCATGGATTTAGTTGTTAGGTCAAAGAAGCCATGTCAGGTAGCAGGCTGGATATGTGTGGTTTGTGACAAAGTTAGTTTCTCCAATATTGTACGTAGGGGATTTTCAATCACCATAGCTTCATCCCTGCACCAACAGCAACAACATTTGTCAATCAACACCATATATTTTGTTTAGGTATTGTGTGTGTGTGTGTGTGTGTGTGTGTGTGTGTGTGTGTGTGTGTGTGTGTGTGTGTGTGTGTGTTGGAACACTGTGCTAGGGATGAAGGATCGATCATCAGAATGAACCAAGTAACTTGGGTTTTTTTTCATTTTTGAGCACTAATTATTGTCTTCATCAAACCAACATGAAAACAAAATGCCTAAAAACAGACTGGCAGATGTAAAATGCAATATCAGGTAAATTGTGTTGATTGTTTTGGCCACTTTGGTCCAGTAGCCAGGCTTCACTTCTTCCTTTATATTGCTGAGTATCACCTCCCTCTCATTGTTGGACAGCTTTTGTAAGTCATGGGGCTCCTCGGTCAGCAGGCTGCTGCTACCTTAAAAAAATGTAGTTTGAATAACAAATTTAAAAACATGACTAAGTGTATTCAGCAGCTTTATACAAAATTCAAATTTTTGAAAAAGTTGCATTTTTCTTTACTTTAAAAAAACTCCAACATGCATTTTCTTCTGCCAATTAATAAAATAGGTAGAACAATTCAGGCAGGATGGATATTGGTAATATGCACATTGGCAGCATGCTGTTCAGGTGATATACTTTCAACCCCCTGATGTGCACACATTCTTGATTGTTCTATATATCTTATTTTGTACTTGGGATCTATAGATCACATTGCTTGGCATCAGTTAGGTTCACAACTGGCTATGTGTATAGTTCTGGACGTATTTTCTTTCCTTTGACTTTTGCCTGATTCCTACATCCAAGAGTTAACAGCTTTAACAGACTTAACAAACTGTTAGTTTGTGGTCCTTGTAGTCCAGATTCACACAGGATCTAATATGTCTGAAATGACGCCAATCTTAGCTGTCGTCAGGTGAGAGGCAGGCTACACCCTGTACAGGTCATTATTATCTAATAGCGTTGACACACACAACCATACACGCTCACACGTACAAACAATTTAGAGTTACAAAATAACTGAATGAGCAAGTCTTTGGACTGGAAAAGCATGCAAACACCACAGAAAAAATACAGAAATATAGGATAGGATAATACTTAATTGATCCGCAGAGGGAAAATTCAGGATATACATATTATATAAATATATTTATTTTTAATTATACACTAACACCAGTTCCTCCTGTCTCTCAGAATTTCAAGTTAAGTTTTGTTCATGGTACTCAAACAAAATCCATGGGATCAAAATTGCCATGTGCAATTCACCAAAATATAATTTGAAAAACAGTACCCAAATCACTCTAGAGAGTAATTGTTATCCAAACAATTTCAGTAGCTCATATAAAATAAAGTAGGAAACAATCTTTACCTCTTTTACCATCATCAGCAGTGGCTTGTCTGCAAAGATGCATGGGACAGGTTAGTTTTTGTTCAAAATCACAACAACTTTGCATAATATATTATACATGCTCAATTCCTTGAGTAACATGACAGTACTGCAAACTGACCAGACGCCTGATGTTTTTCTATTTTAACCATAAACATATTTACAACCTATATTATTTTACCTCTAAAGCAGTTTTGAAATTTTCCTTGCTTCTCCGTGCTGTCCTCATTCAGGCTTTGGTGTTTATCTTTGTCTTTTTGCATCAGATACATCACCAAAATCGTCTCCAAGAGGCTCATCATCATCAAGCCAAAAACCCCGATACAATAGACCGCTAAAGAAAGAAAGCAGAATTATTCATGTCCAAAGACAATTGCAAATTGATAACTATACATAGAGTTGTTATGTATTATGGGTGCAATGGATCACAAATTTCACAGTCGGATAACAGATTTGTGTCACAGATTGAATCAGCTAGCCATGACTGTAACTGCATTTAATCAGAACAACCAATGGTTATGCATCGACATGCATCTAAATTAAGGAATGTAACATTACAAACAAATAAAATAATGTTTGTTAGCTGTAATCTACTTCAACAAGTTTTTCTCATATGAGATTTAGCAATATTAAACACATAACATACACACACCATTCATTTAGTGGATGTGGAATGTTACGGTATTAATCAGTAACGGTGTTGTCCTCCTTTTGATGCATGATAAACGCAAACACGATGAAAGTGAGAAGATGAAAGTCATAGCATCGCTTGATACAAACTTTAACATCAACACTTGAGAAAGTCAACGCACAATCTGCATAATTCATTAAAAAAAGATTTGACCATCTTCATATTGTTACAGTGGATCTCCATGATGTCTACATGCAATACTTAAACACTGCCTTCTCTTCACACTATTGAACATTTGACACCATAATGATACTTTTTTCTTTGATCTACAAATCACATGCAGTTACAACTGTGGGGTGTGATCTGTTGCACCATTAGTATGTTTTAATGAAGAGGTATCAACAATAATCCTCACCTATAAGAGGAATCCTGTCTGAAGACGAAGGCAGGATATCATTCAGAATCAGCTGCATAACTGTGACAGCCAGCAGCACAGTGACCTTGAAGCTGAGCTTCTCACCCCCACTGTCTAAGATCAGGAAGGAGGCCAAGTCCAGACAAAAGAAGAACAGGGTGGGCAGGATGAAGTTTACAACATAGAGGACTGAACGCCTCTTCATGATGATCTGGGAAAACATATTCAGATGGTCAGAGGTTCGTCGTTCTAGAATGTCCCAGTCGGTTAAGTAATATATATTGTAGTCATCTGTGTCGAACAGATCATTTGCCGTGATTTGAGATTTTTTTTATCAAATTGTAGGCAGATTATCAAGACAGAAGAAATTGGTCTCATATGAACACAAGAGAAATACTAAACCTGATATTGAGGTACTGACTGCTTGTCTAATTTCCTGAATATTCTTACCAAAGGCAAACTACACCTTAGTGGGAGAAATAGAAATAAAATAAAATCCCTGTGTTTCCTCCCTCATGTTGCAAGCTCGTAGTGTGTTCATAGTTCCAGCCTTTATCTTCCAGTGAGCCTTCAAGTGTTTTTTTTTACCTTGCCTGCCTTCTCATTTTAGTCTTTTGCCTGCTGGTTTTGGATTTGATCTCCTCAACAGTGCATAGAAAGTGTTCTAAATTCTGTCTTACGAATGAAATTTAGAATGCGCACTAAGAAATCCTTATTTATCAAACATGCGGACTGCGATCGTACGCACATCGGTAACACATGGGTAATCAGTGTTGATCGATCTCACGTGTTCTTAACAAGCAGGCTCATGCATGTTCGGAGACATTTGCATTCAGAAACACCTCCAATTAACCATATGCGGTAACAAAACACCTCTTTAAAAACCACATGGAAATATTTACCCTGCCAGAATAATGATTAGAGTAAAGAAAAGGAGCTTCATATCAACAGGAATGGAAGTTGATGAGGTTTAATAAAAAACGTTAATAAATAAATAAAACAAGGTTAGTAACTCTCAGCGCTGAGTGACCCAAATAAATTGTTTGTTTTTTCATTTAGTCGAAGTTACTAACAAAAGACCAAATGCTGCATGAGAGAAGGTGACAATTTCTGTAAATTCTGTTGGTCGGAGGAGAAAACACTAAGATGAAGTCTGATAATAAGTTCAGTGCAAAAAAATAAAAATGCATCACGACACAAAAGCGAGAAGTATCTGCAACGGGAGGATAAGAGAATACAACACAATTCCATCACTGAACGGTGCATTTACAGCGTCATCCGCAGCATAGCTCTCTCTGGGGAAATAATCAAGCAGTGACGCTCTCCCAACAGAACAAGTTGGACCAAACATATCAGTGCGCTCTTTTGAAATGCCCTTACTGAAGAGCGCACTGTTTGCCAAATCATCTAAAAATGCAAAATGAGCTATGATTAAACATTTCAAATACCCATCACAGCGGTCTTTTAAATGTTTTCAGACCAATTAGGCGTTTCAAACTGGACAAAATCACTAATTTTGTGTTTTTAATTAAAGAAAACTCATGCATCTACGTTGAGATTGATTAAGGCGTGCTGTGACACTCGTAGTGCTTTTTATTTGTAGTTCCAATGTTCTACCACTAGATTCTGTGCGTAAGCATGGTCAGAGCTGTGCTTATATTTACACACATTTCTCAGTAATAGTACAAGTTGATAAATTCCACTCTTTGCATGGGAATGTTCTTACGCACTCACTACGCACAGATCCATGCGTACACACCGTTGATAAATGAGGATCCTGGACTGGTTATTAAACTCTGCTTACTACTGAACTCTGCCTCATGTAGTCCTGCATTTTGGGTCCTTTTATCTGTCTGGTTATGTTATGATACTGTTTTAGATTTACTTGTGTTTGAATATTTGTGTGTACTTTCTTTGAGAGAGTGCTCTCTCTCTCAAAGAAAGTACAAGGATGTTCAGACAGGGCAACATCAGTCACCACAACCTTGCAAATGTTCAGACTCTTGAAAAAAGGTAAATCTAGAGTGTGCCTCTTATTGTATGTTAATGTGTTGGCCTACAAGCAATGAGGCCTCTACAGAAGGGTGCCTGTGCATGCACCCTAGTTGGCACTGAGGGTCAGAAACGTCCCCTCTCCTACTGTAAGGGGAAGTAGGGTGATACCATGCCTACATAGACTCACCTCTACACACATCAATTTTTGCAACCAAAAATCTAGATACATGTTCTGATTTGCACGAGTTCTTTACGATCTAAATCAATAAAATCAATTGTTGCTTATTAAGGAGCTGACAGAAAAATGAAAGCCTCTAAAATGAAGTGAAAGAAATTACAGAGATGATATGTTTAAAAACAATACATACTGTGTAGACAACTGTGCTTGACAAGATGCCGTAGTTTTTGACCACTTCACTTGTTACTGTGATGTTCACAGGGAGCCACTCATACTGCAACGCTTCTTGAGACAGCCCATCCATACCTGGAAACTTATTTGGACTTAGCTTTAAATCCCGTGCTGAGGTTGGAGACAAGAATACAAGTTAGGTTTCCACCTAGTTATATTAGAGACAAAAGCACCTTTAGTACACCCGGCACAAAACACCTTAGCAAGCAGCGCAGGTCTCTTTCCTATTTTCTAGGCCAGCTCCCATGTTATGGTAATAGTAAATTAAATTGCACCTAAGAAAGCACCCAGGGTTTGTTTTTCTTATAATGTGGTGTGGTCAGGCACACACCACCTACCTTGAGGACATAGAAATCGACTGCAGCTTAGACCCCCTAAAAACCTATTCTAAAGATTAAATTCAGTGGCGCAGAACATTATTGCTATTTAGAAGGCACAATAGAAAGATGGGCATGCATAAATTGGTTCATAACGGACTTACACTTATCCCATTTTGCACAGAGTGAATCACATAGGCACTCAGACTGCCCAGTTAAATATATTCTTGCATTTGCTGATACATTACATTGAGTTTTTAATGGGGGAAGAGTTCTATCTTTATTTTCCTCTTAACCTGTTATCTTTATATTCCTTTCCACATGAGGCCGGTCTGGGGATATCAGAAAACAAAGAAACCATCATCACTGTCTCTTGGATACCTGCTTCATCTCGTCTTGTTAAAGTCACACACAGCCCAAAATTCCAGCCGAGACTGACACCAAGCTCTCAATCATATGCCCCTCACTCCAGTGCACTTTATGTCTGAGTGCCACCAACACAGGCAACAGATATGAATACAGAACTGTCTATTGTTCATTATGCACATATTAGAGAATTGAGCCTATGATTCAAGTGGGAAAAAAAGGAAAGAATGTTTAAAGCCTATCTTTATCTGATGTTGATTTTACTTAATGATGAGGATACACTTTTGTGCCTGCAGAGGAAATGTTGATTGCGACTCTCAATTTGGAACGGCACCAATGATTGTTTCTGATGTGGGAGGTTCAGCAAATATAACATAGTTCATACAGTGCCCTGTGTGTGTGTTCTATGTGTTCAGGGACATAATGAAAGGAGAGATGTTCGGTCCAACATGCCAACCTGCAGGCACACCTGGCTGAAAAGGAATGAGAGCTAACACTCTGAGTGGTTTGATTCATGTTATACCCAAAATACACTAATGTATCATCAAGCAACAGAATTCAACCCGTTCACGCCCTGTTTTTAATTTAGCAACCCGATTATGCCTATCTGCGTCACCCCAAATCACTTTGTGCCTTATGTTTAAGACATTGTGCTTTAAACTTTCAAAATTGGGTCCAAAGTGTCTGGTACTCTTTTTCAGGTGACAATAAAGTCATTCAAGTACACACAATCATTCAGACTTTATAGACAAAAAGACACATACCTTATAGAAACTAACCAAAAGGTTACTGGCTCACCTGACATTGAGATCGACTTGAAAGTAAGGTTGCAGCTTTGAATGTCAAAAGGAAATTTGTAAAACTGCATCTTGCAGGTGCTGACCAGCACCATGCCATTCCTTAGAAACACAGAACCAGTATGATATATGGCGAGATAAGAAATCTGTGTGGCCTTATCTTTTTCTGTCCTGTGTGAGGAAAAAAAAACACATTTTGTTAAGATTTATGTTCCCAAATTGTCTTGGAAACATCTGTAAAAAAATGTATTTGCATGCACGTACCCACAAACCACCCCTGCATAAATCAGTGCTTCAGGTGGACCACCCCAGTCAAAAAAAGTCTTGATACAACCCTGGATAGGAAAGTTGCAACGACAAAGAATATTGTCCATATGACAGCAACAAGGAAATTTAAAGCGAGTTGGGCCTGGATATTTACACCAGGGATGTGACAGCCAAACTGGGGTTTTATCCCTTGCAGCCCTGAGATGTCTGGAGCTAGCGCTAGCTGTAGGGCTAATTAGCTTCATCTCTAACACATCCCTGTGCCCCGCTGTCACAGCTGTGCTTTCATCATTCCTGTAAGAGTCAAGGTAGAAGTCGCTGAAAATCTCTTGGCTACAGTTTAACTTTCCTGGCAGTCAAAAGTCACTCTATGGGGAATTAACTCTGGTGCGTCTAAAGGGACTAAATAGCATATGATTAAAGCGATAAAAAAAAGAGTTAATTTCAGCCCTAAATCATATCATGATTATTACGTAAACACTGACACAAATTTAAACAAATTAATAAATCTTTTTTTTTTCAATGCTACACGTGTTGTCAAATTGCTCATGTTTTCTTGACTTACGCATATAAAATCAGATTTTAAAAGGGTTGCAGTGCGTTGAGCTATTCTGTTGCTAGTGTATGAATGTGAACCATGTACATCAAGTCAAACTTACATCTCGTCAATCATTATATCCGGGTTCCACAATCGTTCAGCAGGATAATAAACCGAGGGAATACCACAGTATTCACTAGAATTCCAAGTGATCAAGGGATTACGCCAAATCTAAAAGAGCAACACAGGAAGACATAAACTCCTCAATATTTAAATTTTGGTCATCCATATAAAAGAAAGATATCTTGATTAAGTCATTAAAAATGTTTTATCCTTACAGAAAACTCACCGTATTTATCCAAATGTGAGTAACAAGTTCCTGTTCCTTGTCTCTCTAGGAGGAAGAAACATTCTTTCAAAAATGTCAAGTTCATGGTCAAGTTAATCAAATTTATGTGTCACTGTTTTATAATATTTTTATATGTAAACATCAGGTTATTTCCAACATTACTCTGAAGGGAATGTTTAGTCTATGGTGCAAAATATGCTATATGCCAAATCCACTTCACCATGTTTCTCTAACACTAATATGTTTTATTTCATTTCAGTGAACCTTTAACCTTGTGACTACCTACCTAGGATCAGGAGCATTATACCAAATTAATCACACCTGTGGGTGCGACATCACCCGCTTCACATTATATGTATGCACCCACACACTCCCTCTTTCCTCTCTCCTGGTCAGTACGAGCTTATACCAGCTTGAATTGTTGTACTTTGTTAACTCTCAAGGTCTCGACTGCTGATTACCGGGCTGCCGTGTGCTGGCACCCCTTTGGCGTGTCGTGAGTTTGTCCGTGCTGAATTTATAAAGCGTGCCGGTGAGGAGGACGAGCGGCCTCTCGTGCTTTCAGGTGCGGTATTGAGAAGCGGTGGAGCGGCTCCCGTGTTTTGGTGGGCAATAAGGTCGGCGTGAAGTAAGGCTGATTGAGGTTTGTACTGTATGATTAAATGTCTGTTTCTGAAAAGAAACAAATCATACATTACTCAGAGACTTTTTCTGGTTTGCATGTTTTTTTATAAAATGTCAAATTACTGAATGTGTGCTTCTTTTTGCTGACCCTCCAGTTATCTACGGAGAGGGAAGACTGAAAGGAGGTGCTGCCATAATTGGATTATGGCATCTCAGGATGGGAGGGACAGTGGCCCGGAGACTGGTGTGCCTCCCCCGGCCAGGATCCACCCACTCCACCTTCACAGGCGTCAGCTGGAAGAAAGCGGGCCAGGAAACGGATCTGGACTAAGCAGATCTTGCTGGGTGACCCACGGGTTGACCTCATGCAGAGGGAATTGGAGGGAGGCTACTGAGGCTACACCTCGCTCAGCCCTTAGCCTCCTGAACCAGGCGGCAGTGCACGGCCTGGATGGCTGGTCAAAGGTGAGGCCCACTTTTGCACTGTTGTCTGGGACTCCAAACACAGGTAGCAGGGCGGCACCAAATATTAAGTGCCGCATGACTGATGGGCTGGTGGTGAAGGCTTTTCCAGTCCGTAGCCATGGCCTCTAGACTGGGGAAAACCAGTGGGGAGTGGAGGCAAGGTCCTCCCCCAACGCAGATGCGTGGCCCCCACGTTTTCAACCCCGTTCTCGCGAGCGCACTGATCGTGGGTCAGCTAAGCCCCGTCAGTACCCCTGATGGTGTCCCGTCACTGAATCCAGGCTTCACCATCGTCACCCTCAGGGCTTGGTGTCAGTGTACCACTTTTTCATGGGTTATCGGGACTCTACAGTTTGCATAGCTCCTGCAGTTCAGGGCCTGCCCACCTCGCTTTCGAGGGGTTTTGGAGATGGTGGTGAGAGATAGGTTTCATGTCCCCATCAACCAAGATCAGGTGGACCTCTTTGCCACAGCAGGCAACACTCACGGCCCTCTGTAGTCATTCATGTACGGCCCTGCAGGGCAGCTGGGGATAGACGCCCTGAGCCTCTTGTGGACTCTAGTGTGGCAGTATGCCTTTCCCCTACTCCTTCTTCTGCCAGTTTTCATCAGGAGAGTGAGGTGGCTGGGTGCTCGAAGGGTCTCTGTGGCAACACATTGGCCACAGAGGCCGTGGAGGGCAGAGGTCTAAGGGATGCTGGTGGGCTGTCTGTGGTGTCTACCAGTTAGACAGGATATGCTGTCCCAGATGCGAGGCAGGATATGGCACCCAGAGCCCCAAACACTGAGGCTTCATGTGTTGCCTTTGAAAGGCAACAGTTACTCTCGCTTGGCCTAGAGAGACAGGTGGTGGACACTTTGCTGGCCTCACGAGCTCCTAAATGGAGGGTGTTTCTGGACTGGTGTGGCATTACGGGAGAAAACCCCTTTAACGTGTGGCATGCCTGTTATTCTGGCCTTCCTCCAGCACCTCTTTGACCTGGGCCAGGCAGAATCGACTATCAGGGGTTACCTTGCAGGGATTTCTACAGTTCATGACAGATGTGAGGGCTGTTCCCCGGGTGCACACCCTCTGGCTACACAGTTTTTAAGAGGATCAAGGAGGAGTCGCCCATCAGGGAAACTTCTACTGCCCTCCTGGGACCTCCAGGTGGTCCTCAGCGCTCTATGCCAGCCTCCCCTTGAACCGCTGTTTAGTCTGGACCTGCGCCATCTCAGTTTGAAGACTGCTTTCCTCTTGGCCATTGTTTCGGCAAAAAGAGTGAGCGAGTTGGGCACTCTCTCAGTGGACGAGGCTTGCATTAGATTAGGGGATGGGGACAAGTCAGTCCACCTTCTCCCAAACCCAGC